CAGGGCAGCATGGAGTTCTGAAAATTTTGGGGAGGAAAGTTGGCTTGCCAAACATGGTAGGAAAGTGGCAGATTTCTAAGATTTGACTTTCTATTAAGAGGATCTGATTTATCTACACCTGATATAAACATGGATGCTGAAAAGAACCCCAAATCTCCTTTTTTTTTCCCCCCTTTTCTTTCCATTTTCCTGCTGCTCTTTGAAACCAATGCTATTCCCCACCTCCTCCGACGCTGTCACCACATACCTGCAGCATACTATAACTTACTGCAGCTCACCATTTCCTCCTGAAGTACTAATTTTAAAGAAGGATTTGGTTTCTGTTTAGCGTAGTGAGGCAGTCCAGCCCTCAAGCCAGTAAAGGCAGAAGCTCTTTCCTCTGTGGCAGAACCAGATTAGAAGATTAATCCCTGCTCCTGCAGGAAGTTTGCAGCAAAACCTGCCCTGGGGCAAGTCCATGAGATCATGCTCCTGTAATAACCAAGCACAGATAAAGGATAGCTTACAAACTGCTGTTCTTATGCATTTCCTCCACCAGCACATGATCTCAGGTTGGGTAGTAGGGAAAGGCTCTGCCTCAGAAGGAAGAGCTGCTGGGGCTCAGGAAGCACTGAGACACTGCTCTCAGATATAGGGTTGGATTTGGGTAGTGCTCATTGAGCTACTCAGGATATTCTATGATTCTATGACCTTGTGTTCCAAGTAGAATAATACTAGGGAAAGTCTCTCTTTGCTGCACAGAGGATGAAAATTGCAGATGTCCTAAGGATGCACATCCATGGCACATCACGCATCTCGTGGCTGCATGACCGCCAGGCAACCTTGGTGCACCAGAACATGATGACAGCATGGGACTCTTTTCACGGAGTCGAGGTGGGATGACTGCCCCATCTCCAGCAGCACTGCCTCTCTGCAGCACTAGGGAGGACTTCCAAAAGCACCATGAGATAACAGGTGAATGCTGTAGAAGCATATCTATAAAACAGTCCGCCAGATACCCAACACAGAAGATATTTTTGATGCTGGAAATAATTAGAAAGAAACCTCAAAAATAAGCTTTTAATTTTAAGGATCAGAAGCTCACAGCTTGAAGAAATTTGAGGTTCCCTGGGAATTGTTTGCCAAAGAAAGCTTCCTCACAGTGACTCATTCCTTCAATGTCAGGACAGGTTGAAAACCAAAGGTTTGCAAAGCTCAGACAGTACTGGGAGAAGGATGGAGCTGAGGAATGATGCTCTAAAATACGTTTCCAAACCTGTGATGCAATTAAGTTGTATTTCCATGTTTATGAGTACTTACTTACTGAGGTCTTCAGCTGGTAAGTCACAAGGAGCCGCTTCCAAGGAGGAAAATGGGTTCCTTGTATAGGTGGCTGCAGGGATTGTGACACTGGAAAGGTTTTCAGAGCACTTTCAGAGCACTCTTCTGCCAAAGTTCTTTCCAAGAAAGCACAGATATTGCTGCGAAACTATCACAGAACAACTACAGAATTCCTGCTGAGAGATATAAAAACTATTCCCACATGGAAGTAGTCAAAACATAGATGTTTCACATCTCATACGATCATAAAATCATTTGAGTTGGAAGGAACCAGTAAGGTAATCTATAGTGTGACTGCCCTGTGATGAACAGGGGAATTTCCCTAACTGTATTTTTGGTATATCTCAGTGATGTATTTAAGACTGAACATATAGCAGCCATTGATGCAGTCTCTTAAGAGGCAAAGTAACATATTTATGTAGATGCATTCTATATGTTCCATTTGTTAACTTACACATGAAACCGTTCAGGCTGTTATTGGTTGGACAGTCTGGAGATTGCCAGCTTTTCAATTTTCACTTCAATAAAACAAAAAACCCCCGAGGAGAACACTTTCTTTTTTTAATCGTAGCCAGCCCTGCTTTCTGTAATGAAGAACTTCTTTTCCAGCCCCAAGAGAGCAATTCTTTGAATGTCACTTTCAAACAGCACGATAGAAATCTCTGCAATTTGCAGAACAGAACCCTGCCAGTGCATTGCTTTCCAGTGTATGAGGGCTGCTCCGAAAGCAATGCCTCCTATCTGGTTATGTCAGACTGTTATGTGTTGGGGGATAGCAGAAGAGGTTGAACATTCCCACCACCATTCCATCACTTTCTGTTGCTGAGAATTTGCTTTATCAATTAGTGTTATTGCGCTCTTTGTAGCTGCTGTTGTTCCCATGGAAATAAACAGGAGGCATTACTTCCATTTACTTTTTGGAGGTTATTTACAATTGCATACTGGTCCAGGTCTCCTGTTCTCAACACTGCAGAAACGCACTATGTGCCAGCCCTGTGAAAGACTTCAGACCTAAGGCAACCTAAAGGCTTCTAGTTCAATTCTGCCCAAAACAAGAAGGTACATTTTCTGGCAAACTGTCATTAAACAACAGCATTAACCATGAGTGGTGCAGGTCCTTAATTAGGCAAAAGGCAGCTTTACACACCTGAAACTACCATTCATTGCTGGGAAAGCTGCAGGATCTGCAGCTGAGTGGAGAAGGGCACTCTTAATTTGGCTGAAGAGCAGCTGGTTTTCTTCTCACTCTAATTAGCTCCTCCAGCAGGCCCTTATGCTTCAACTCAATGAGGCTGAAGCACACTCAGCTCAATTCAGAAATGGCACATCAACTATTTTCATCAAACTCAGAGGGTTCATTTGTTTGTTCTTTCCGATATTAAAGACTAATTCTGACTTAGACTAAGAGCCTTCCTGAGTGCATCCACCCCTAGGGAAGGAGCCGTGGCAATATGAGAGCATTCAATTATTTGTCTGCTCCAAATTACTCACAGAGAGGAGTGGATTCACATGGGCAGATAGTGTGTTTTTTTTAAGACCCACGTGGGAGGCGTTGCAGTGCTAACAGAGTTTTGGTTCCCTCCTTCAATAGTAATGTGAGCTTTGCATACAGATTTCTTAGCTTGGCAAAGCTGCTCCACACCATTTACTTTTTCAACCTTCACTTTCAATGCTCTTTCACACCTGGTAGTTCCTACAGAGCTCTTCTGCTGCTTCCTTTGTGGTTCACACCTTACTACAGACCGAAATAAGGAACTGGAATCTGTCACAGTCTGCTGTGTTACACACACAATAAAAGGAAAAATATCCACCAAAGGGTTCAAGAAATGTTTTGTACAGAATTATCAACTGCCCTTTAGATTGCCAGAAAGTTTCCTAGGTCTGGGATAGAGCTTCTAGTCAGTGCAGAAGTCAAATTTAAACCCATATCTCCAAATCACGTTTCAGCAATCTGTAAGGCAATGGCTAAAACCTCAGAAAATCACTTCCTTCTTCATCCCTGCTTAAAATGAACACAGAATCTGAGAGTTTGAGTTGTTTGGTTTTGTTCTTGTTGTTGTTTTCTCTTTTTATCCCTTAGGAACCTAAAAATATTTCGAAAAGAAAAAAAACAACCAAACACTAATTATAACTTTTCAGTATGTTCTTTTTTTTTTTTTTTCCTACTCAGGTCTTTTCAGACTAGGAAAACCTCTTATTTCTTACTAATAATTACCTGAAATCAAGGCCCTATGGGCCTAAGGTAACAGAAACAGCTCTGAGAAAAGCACACAGTGAACTGCTCTCGAGCTTTGGCAGAGGACTGTGCACACTATAAATCATAACTTGGATTTGACCTTTTTCCTATTGTATATAGCTGAAGAAAGATCAATAGGAATTGCTGGCAGTAAGACAGAGGGGACATTTCTTCTCCTTAGCTGTGCTTTCTAAGTGAGAGCAGATGTTCAGTGAAGGACGAAAACGCATGTACCTCAGCAATGGATCAACACAACTGCAATCCTAGCAAGGTGTAAGAACCAGTAATCAACAAGGCATCATCTAAAGAAGCCTCCCCTTGCATACACAGAAGCTGCCAGCATCCACAAGTTCCTGCGAAGAGGGTTCAGAGGCAGGCTTTGCTGAAGGAGAAGTGTCCTGAAAAGGACAGCAAGTTCAGAAGATCAATACCTCGTCTATTCTAAACCCCTTTGAATTACTGCTTGTTTTTACCTTACCCTTGAGCCTTACAATGAAGAGCAATAATCAAGAGCAAAATGTAGTCATCATGCAGCTCTGCCTTCCCCAAAGGAATCAGATATCAATAGGAAGAGGAGAGCCTCAGCATCCTCACCACAAACACACAGGCACTGAGAACGTTCCCCTTTTCCCTGTATGAATCATAGGTCAGGATCCCTCTGCACTCTATTTTTAAAGAAATCAAAGATTTTCAAAGCACGTGTGAGCGGGCAATACATAAAACATTCATTCCTAAAAATATCACCCAGCCAGCCCTGCCTGGATCATCTGTTAGAAAAGTACTTCTTATTTTTTCACATTGAAATCAGTATTAGGCTTCTCCAGGTCCATTCTAGCCCACATGGACTAACTAGATGTACTAGGCCTAAATACACACTGCAGTGCAAGACACAGGAAAATAATTTAACCTGCTTCTTCCACAGAGTAAGAAATGGAAAAGTAGTAAAACACCTGTGAAAGTGTAACTCCATAACAAGCTGTAGTGATCAGGTAGCTGAGTTGCAAGGAATCAGGAAAGCAGCTGAAAGAACAGACCTGGGGCAGCTGCCAGGTGAGCAGCAACTTCCAGCAGAGGCCAAAACACGTGCAACACTTGCTGCTGAGTTCTTGGCAAGTTTTAGGAACCTCAGTGCAACTGCAGAGGGAATAAAGCAGAGATGATTTCCAAAACCCATAGGCTTCCCAGTGCATTTCTAAGACAGCCTGTTTTCATCTCTGCAAGGTTCGCAAGCAGTTCCCAACTCCCACTTGTTACAACTAAAATAATAATAAAACCACTCCTATCTCTCAGGAAAAGTCCAGTGATATTCACCATAACTTGGCACTCATGGAAAAAGCCTCTATCTCAGTTCAGCTATGAAACTGAAGTTCATACAAACACTGCACATTCACTGTTTTGTAGACAGAGCAAAACAACCATTAGAACATTCCCATCCAAAAGGAAATAGATAAACAACTTAACCATTTATTTGACTGCATTGTATTTAGACAGCTTGTACATTTCATAACCCCACTGTTTTTGTTCTCATCAAAAAGGATAAAGGGACAGAAGAATATAATTCACTCAAAACAGCAGTCCAGTATTTGGAGATACACTTGATATTTCCATAGATGCCCGTCTGATACCTGAACTCCAATACAGGTTGCAATGCTTATACAAGACCTGAACATTTTGAACAAAGCACTCAGTTTGAGCAATGCCTTGTGGTGCCCTGGAAAAGTTTGTGATGCACTACGCAATGCCAATTAGACTATGCCTGCTTTTCTTGTAAGTGATGAACCCAATTGTTTCCTTAAAAAAAAAAAACAAAAACAACATAACACAAACATCCATACCTGACATGTCAGCAAATAGCAGTGTTTGGGCAAATCCAAACAAAAACTCCCTACTTAGATTTGTCAATGCAAAAGGTGAAGAGGAGTGGACTGTGTTTTAACAACAGACATGAGAAATAACCAAACTCCTTTTTGCTAGATTCGTTTTGAACATCTGTTTTCATCTCTCTGCAATTCTTGACTTCCCACTTGAGACCCAATTCCAAGCAACACAGAGAATAAATCTGTTCCACTTAATATAAGCCAACGCATACAGCTTCAGTCTCTTCCGTAGTGAACTGTGTGTTACACAGCAGCAAAATGAGAACCTTTCAGGCAATGTGCTCTTTGAAAAGAAACATACACCTATTTTGCGCAGCCTTTTCAAAGATGGCATGGTGAGAATGAATTACTTCTTACGAGAAACAGAACTGTATTTGAATTTCGCTCAGCAGTGATGGTATTTTTCGGCAGTACCTTCACAAAAAGTGATGCAGGCTAAGTTTCAAGTCTGCTCTCAAACTCAAGACACCCACAGCTTAAATATTAACCTCCAGAAAACTTGCTTGTCTGGCTTTTCAGTTTTTAAACATCAGCAGACACACAAGATAGCCTACTCTGCAGTTTGCAGCCCAGCAGCTGCTAACAAGGAACGAAGCTTCTCTTATCTGCCTCCTTAGTTCAAGCAAGCCAGAGCAGGCGTTACTTCCCAGACAACTTGAATACATCTGGGAAAAGCCTGTTTCCATCAATTCAGCATTCCCAACACTTAAGCCTTCACCTCCTGAAGAACTGCTCTAAATAACTGGCAAACCAGAGGGGTTAGGGAAATTTGAACAGGCAGCTTTGCCCTGAACTCTGCAAATAAGATTCCAGTTCACAGCACTGATTCAGGCACCATTTTAAGCGAGTTTTCCTTACTGAGGGGAAACAAGCCCTCTCAGAAACACAGTGTTTCCAGGCAGAAAACTCAGAAGGGCCAATTTCTATTAAAAGTCTTTATTTTCAAACACGACTCATCATTTGTACTCGGTAAGAAATGCCCATCACCATCTGCAATCGGTCTGCGCAAAATAAGGCTTTCCTTTAAATCCAGTTTTCCTGCACAGGGATCTTTTCCACATGTTAATGGAGGTAGGGTTTTTTTTTTTGTTTTCCTTTTTTTTTTTTAAATGTACAGTAATTAATATAAACAAAACAACAACAAAAAAAAGACTCAAACCAAACCCTTAAGAAAAAAATAAGTGTAGTAAGGCAAATCTGAAGAGTACGCTCAACTACCAAAGAGCAGATTCACTGAGAGCTCATCCTTTCCCCTTCCCCTCCCCCCTGCAGACTCTTCCAGAAGTCAACTAATACTTTTTTTTTTTTTTTTTGAAGTGGAGGAAAAATAAAAATAAACTAAAAATCCCAACCAACCGATTCATAGAACTGAGCTATAGAATCACGCTGAACAAGAAAGCCTAGACACTGTAATTACTGAACAGATTGATGGGTATTGGTAAAACCTATGTATGCCCAATTGAGACAGAAAGTGAGAGAAAGGAGGAGGAGGAGGAAGAGAAATGTCTTCCCCATCGCTTTGATTTTGGAAGGAAAAAAAAAAATCCCCCAATAATTTAGCTCATGTAAGTTTAGAGAAAATGAGAGCAGCTAAAAATGGATACAATACACCTTGAAATTTATTTCCAAGACCAAGAACCAAAGATTGAAGCATTTTAGAACACTGAAGCAAAGCAATCTGAAAAAAAAAAAAAATTGTTCAAACTATTTTAAAATAGCTGTTTTTCAGAGCTTCTAGTGATAATTTTGATTAAATAAAATCATACCAATTTACATTAATTTTCTATATCTTCTTTTAAAAGTCCCTCACTCTTTTAAAGAAAAAAGTGCATCCAAAACCAGCAGAGATTTACTGGCAACATCAGGTTCTCTTTTAGCAGCTACTCAAGGATTTCAAAATAGCTTACACTTCCTGCTATAAGAAAAGAAGGGCCTTCCAAACCCTCGTTTGGGAGAAGTATCCAAATCATAAAAATCTGAAATAATTTATTATCAAATCCAGAATTTAAATAAAAGCAGAATTTTTTTCTTGCAGAGACAATTGAAGAAAGTAAAAGAATAAAAGCATGCACTCCAAACTCAGAGGTGAAGACAAATATACTTATCTATACAGGCACTGGCAGACGCAATTTAATTGTTACTGTTACTCATTGTAACACACACCCCACCCTACAATACATTTTTTCATTCACTAATCACTGAGGTACCAATATTTAAGAATGGAAAATTCAATATTGAAAAATAAAACCTAAAATTGAAGCCTTTTTCCAGAAAACTATGGCAATTTTTTTTTTTTTTTGTATGAAATGTTAGTATACTTATAGAATTTTACAATCTACATTGGCTTTTTTTTTTTTTTCTCTCCGGGAACCAAAAGTTGTGTTCCACATAACAGGTTCTTTAATAAAATGTTCACTGTGTATGTAATACAGTCAGTAGACTTGCAAATAAACAAACCTATCTTGGCTATCAACTGGCACATCTTGCTGGTACCAAAAGAACTCGAAGTTTGAAACAATCGGCTTTAATTCGGAACAAATGCGCCATGCCAAAGTGCAACAAATATGTGCGACACTCAAATGAGACACTGACAGATAAGAGCTGCATGGAAATTACTAAGTCCACCTTGCAAAGCAATTTTGTACAAATTGCATTGCATGCAAAGGACAACTCTGCGCTGTTGGGACGTCAGTTGCTTGATGTGATGGATTCTTTTAACGCAGCCATAGTTTAAGACGCAGTGCATCAACTCCATTTAAATAGTATCTGAACAGCCTCTTGTCTCGCACAAACCCAAGGTTTTCATAAAGTTTCAAAGCAGACTTATTTGTGATTTCTGTTTCCAATACAACCTTCAAGAGAAAAAAAAAGGAGAAAGCATGTATGAGAAAGCTGTTATGTTACAGTTGAACAAATCCCAAAGTTGTTATTTAAAGGTACACTTCAGAGCAATTACTGGAATCAATATTTTCTAGTCCTCGTTTATAAAAACAACTCCCCCCCTCAATCCTCGCATTTAAAAGAAAATAGCAGTTAACAATAGTAGCTGCAAGCAAGTTTCGTTCATCTCAAGATTTTGTTTGCTGTGAACAGTGTTTCAAACCATTATCTGATAGCAATAAAACATAAAAAAAAGATAAGAATACCAATTGGACAGTTCAGGGTTCAAATCATAGAATCACCAAGGTTGGAAAAGACCTCTAAGAATAGCCAGTCCAGCCACCTACCTACCACCAATATCTTCCACTAAACCACATCCCTCAGTACAACAACTACACATTTCTTGAACACAAACACATATTTAGAATGAATCCTAGAATGGCCTGGGTTGAAAAGGACCACAATGTTCATCTAATTTCAACCCCCTGCTATCTGCAGGGTCGCCAACCATCAGACTAAGCTGCCCAGAACTTCTACACATTATAAGAACTTGGTATGCAGTGAGTTATATTTCACCCCCTGAATATCTCTCACCTCTGATTTGAAGGATGTAGACCTAGATACAAACTCCTTCATTCTTTGCCCCGCCATCAGATCCAATGTTTATAATGCATATCTGTGCTCAGCACAAGGACCCCAGACTCATCCCAGAGTGCACACACCAGGCAGATCCCAGGTTCACAGGGTCCTGTTCAGGGCTTTTTGGATGGCCCATACCAAAATTCCTCATATGCCAATGGGCACATCAAAACTTACAGAGAGCAAAGCTGTTGCAAGAGAGGCCTGGGCTGGAAGTAATTGATTATAGTGAGCAAGTAAAAGGCATATCATTACATTTCAAGTAATGCGTTGGTTTCAGAAGATTAAAACGTCTTGGTCATTTATTGTTCCCAACTAGCCCAGAAAGAAAGAAAGAGCAGCTCTTTCCTTTTTATTTTTATTGGCTCTCTATGTTGACAACACCACAGTTGCAAGAAAAGCTGTCACCAATAGCTCACACCAAACCCAAGCGTTGTCCATGGAAAGCAAAGACTGAAAAATGTTCCTCAAGTGCTGCCCAAGAACTATACTGGCATTAACAATCACAGAATCACAGAATGGCCCAGGTTTGAAGGGACCTCGAGGATCATGAAGCTCCAACCCCCTTACCACAGGCAGGGCCACCAACCTCCACATTTAATACCAGACCAGTTTAATGAGAAGTTAAACTGTTGAAGTACATCTCTCTGAATTATTTTTGCCAGTTCTCTCTAAACACAACGAACAGAGATATGGCACACCTCACCTGATAAGCAATGCACCCATCCTGAACACCAGGAATTTGTTCTGCCTTTTCACTGCTGTCCACATCAGTTATTCAGAGATTCTACTGTTAAGGATTGACCACAGTTGCTTAAGATCACTGGCAGAACTAATAAACTGACACTAATATCCCACAGACACCTACATTCACATATTAAACAAGAGCTGATGGACACTTGTAGGACATTCCAAGAAATTTAAGCAGCAAGCCAGTGAGCAGTGCAGGTACAAGACAACTAATGGCTACACCTAAAGCAGTATTTTGATGCCCACCACTCCAGACAAAAATCCCAGTCAAAAAAAAAAAAAGTAATCTACTCTATCTCAGAGCCTAAGACTCCCTCATCTTCCAAAAGGAAGAAGTTTTTTGTTGCTGTTGTTTTGTTTTAAATTAAAAATGCTAGCCTGTATTTGTAGAGCAGTTCAAGCTAACCTACCTTGAAGACTGTTGGCCTTCAGGCATGCATTTCCACTCCCCCTCAGCTCTTCTGCCAGCTCACTGGGTTCACTACCAAGCTACTTCATAAAGCAAACTATCAGAAAAACAACTCAATTCTCTCTCCATCATGTTTGCTCTTTGCATCTGAGGTTACTAGCATTTACACTGATTTCCTTCAGTAAGGTTTAAAAATCTGCTCTGTTTATGTATTTGAGCATTACTTAAGTTTCAAGCCACTCAGACCACATTCCTATGGACAATTCCCCCTGTACTTTTTAATTTGTGAATGTTGTAAGAACTGTAAAGCTGGAGCTAACAGTGAACAACACATACTGGAAGAAAATAAGACTTAAAAGAAGTTTGTTTTTCTAGAACAAACATTAAAATATTCATAGCCACAGTTCTTAAATTACAGGACAGTCTATTGTTCCTGTACTCTTAAGACAAGCAAATTCAATTCTTGGTCTTATGGGAAGAACTAGAGATTGAATTTCTCTTGCTGGCACCTCATGCAATAGTACTATCAGGCCTTACAACTTGATCAATTACTCTTACCAACTTCAATCTATTAAAATGAATAACTTTCAAGTTATTGCCGATTACAGAAATGCAATAGTTTACCTGAAGAGTTCCTCTTTTCTACACGAGGATGCACACTGTACAAGTTCTTAGCTTAAATTAAAACAAAGCATTATGCCAAACAGGAAATGTGACCCATGTAAATCCACAATGCAGGAAACTCTTATTTGAACTCTGCCTACAAATGGCATTCACTTGCACTAAAGTTCTTTATTCTGGCAGGGTGATATAACATGTCTGTATTCAATTGCAAGCTTGCATATTTTGCAGTGCTAGAAGACTTCCAACACTGCAGACCCAAGGGAGGGGTTATATGTTGAAATTCAGGTTTGCTGGAATCTTAGCACCTGAGCAAATGCTCATCTTGAAAGCTAATGCAATAGATTTGTTCTGGTATTTCCAAGAAACACTCAGCACAATGAACAATAATTCCTTGATCTCAACAGTGTCTTGATCTCAAAGAGGACTAAGACACATTCCTGGATCTAGTAAGGAAACACCTAAGATTTATACATGCTCCGTTAGTCTGATTTTGTGTAGGATTCTTTTTCTTCAATCAAGCTCAAAATCTTCAATTATTACCTTTAATATTTGTCTATTTTATTCTGCAAACGTGCCTATTAAGTCTTCTCATAATGCAACCCCTCTACTCCTGTAGATCAGTGAGGTCTGACTGGGTTTGAACACGATTTTCTGCAACTTTCTGGAGGTCATCATTTTCTCTTATGCCCAAAATAAGAAAAAGTTACAGTTATCATCTCAACTCTGTCCAATTTTAACTGGTTTAAGAAAAAAGGAATCTCATGTAAGAATGGAATATAATGTTTCTTGTTATTACCTTCTTGTATCTAGTTTACCTGAACTGAAGGAAAAAGGAGGTCAAGCTTTCTTGCTTTTTCAGCTCAAACCCTGAATGCACTCAAGTTTAGAAACCAAATCACATAATATAGCCAAATCAGATAAACTAATAAGGAAAATAACTCTTTCAGCACTCACAGAAGAGGCCACTATTCCTACAAATAAGGTTGGCTATTATGGGATTCAAGCTGGGTGCTTGTCCAGCATCCTTCATCAGATTGACTGACTTACCATTTAAAGATATGCAGTATCTCAAATATAAAACTTATACAAAAAGATCTGTAGATTCAAAAAAGCTAAAGATGCCAAGAGTTTGAGAATTTCAAATAGGATTATATAAAAATCCATCGCTCTTAGAAGCATGACACTGAATTAAAAAGACACACCTAGTGGTGAAGTCAGAAAAATCTGACTTCAAAACATTTTAAAGTTTCATAGGAATTCTCACAAGTCGTCACAATTCCTTTCCATGCTTTGCCAAAAAAATGTTCTGAAGAGTTCCACTTATCCAAGTCTTATTTTGATTAGTTAGTAGTTACACGGTGCTGAAATAATGCAACATGAGGTAAATAATCATATGCAGATTACTTACAGTCATTTGTTACAGATGGAAAGTTTACATGTGAACAAACAACTCTTCCTTTCCTAATTCTGATTAAGGGATGGAGCAGCTCCATATGACACTCTGAAGTAGCACGGCTTAAGAAAAGTGCTTGTCATAAAGACCAAACAAATGTACAAAAGGCAGCCAGATGCTCTGTTTGCTGGAGTTGGCACACACACCTTTTGCAAGGCTTGGTGTTGATACCCCAGAAGTCTGAAATCTGTGATACTTCATGAAGGACCACACTGAAATAAGTATTTATCAGATTATATGTCACAAGTTACTAAATACATTGATTGCAACTATTCTGTAATTAGATTGAAGTAAAGAGATTACAAACAGCTTTTGGAAAATTTCAGTGACAATCATAAGTCCATGTTCCTGTTCTTAATGATTTTCTAAGCGAGTTTCCAGAGAGTATTTTTGAATTGCAATCTGTTTTGTATCAACAGCATCTTCGCATTTCCATCACGCTTTTGGTTTTATTAAGGGATGTAGAAAAACATGTTAAAAGCAGCAGAGAAAAGACTATTTACACACCTCACAAAGAGCAGTCACTGTCACACACTGCTTCATCAGCCAAGCATCAATCAGGTGGACAGAAACTGTTCCCCCCAGCAACTGCTGTAATAAATGGTGAGGGTAAGTTTCTCAGCTCTGTCTGAGAGCTTTAAATAGCAGGTGGCTGACTGGATCTTTCAAATCCTGCTCACAACTGACAATTTCTCAGCAATCTACCAGATGCAACAAGTAAACATCAGTATTGTTCTATCACATACCAGGAAGAAACCTATGCTTGCTGCCAAAGGAAAAGAATATGCTTCCCATTGGTTGTACATTACCTGTATGTTAAGCATTAACACATTGTATTACTCTGGGCATGCCTCTGCCAACTGGTGTAGTAGGAAGTCAGAAATACACTCTGCTTGTGCTCCTCATTGCCTGGACATGAGTTCCCATTTCAAAAGTTTGTACCAGTATAAAGCCAGGCTGATGCAAAAGCCCCCAAGAAGCATGGCATGATTAGTTCAGAATCATCATTGCACAAATGCTTATGTGATTTCTGGGAGTGAAACATGCCTGCACCCATCCAGCACACACTGGAGTTTGCACTGAAGCACATTTGATTAAACAGGGACAGCAAAAAACCTGAAAAATGACCTACGGTTTTATTATAAGCATATACACAAGACTAAAGATGAAAATCTATGACTAAGGCTTAATGAGGTCTTACTGCAGAGTAGCTTGCAATCCTTACCACGTTTATTTTAAGTAATGGTAAGAAAGACTCTTGCATTATTATTAAAGCAGGGGGGGGAAAGAAGAATGACACAGGAGAGCTCATTAAGCATATACCTCAAAGATGGTCCAGTATAAAAGCAGTGCTATGGGAGAAGTAGTACACACACACTCATACATAATACAGGGAGCACTGCAACTCTGGTGGCCTGGGTAGAAACACAAAGTTCTGCTATTGACCCTCTAACAACAGTGGGTTTCAAGACCATGCATCTTATTTCTCCCAGAGTGACAGCACTGATATACTTCTTTTTTTTCCCCTTTGTTCCTCAAATCTCAGATATGTAGCAGTTGCAAATGAATCCAAAACCACAGTGGAAAGCAATAGAAAAGATGTGTTCAAGGTAGCAAGTAAAAAAATAAAGCACGGTATATATGATAAAAGCATCAAGACAAAACAAAGAACTTAAACAATTACAGAACTATCAGACTGCAGTACACTGCCTGAATACAACAAATGGTAGGGGGGGAAAAAAAAAAGACACCAGAAAATTGCTCTCTTCAAATACCTGAAAGGTGATTGCGGTGAGAGTGGGGTTAGTCTCCTCTCAATGGTGACAGGATAAGAGAAAATGTCCTCAAGTTGCACCAGGGGAAATTTAGGTTGGATATCAGGAACCACTTCTTTACAAAAAGGGTTGTTAAGCACTGCAATAGCTCCCCAGGGAGGTGGTTGAGTCACCAGCCCTGGATGTGTTTAAAAACAGTTTGGATGTGGTGCTCAGGGACATGATTTAGTGGAGGGTTGTTAGTTAGGGTAGTATGGTTAGGTTGTGATTGGACTTGATCTTGAAGGTCTTTTCCAACCTGAGCATTTCTATGATTCTATGGACAACTGAGGGAATGGAGTGAGATGAGGTAACAAAGGATCACTAACAATGATACGCTGAAATGACACGGTGTTCAGATATCAGGAATAAGTTAACAACTGCACTGTAACAAGCAGATGGAAGTTAAAGAATCAGATAACTGGATTAAGGAGATTGGTTACAAAGGGAGTTCCTCACAAGTTAAACAGGGAATGGAAAGATAGTTTTTAATGTGCTTCACACATTAAAAAAGGAAAAAAAAAACCAAAGGACTATAATCTGGTAAAAGAAAGGACTAACAAATAGGCCAGAGAAAAAGCCTGACAGTAATTAAGTCACTTTCCTTCACTGCCATGCTAAATCATCAGAACTTAGTGCTATGTGATACAGCTTCAGCATTGTCGGAGTAACCTGACTACTTGCTGCAATAAAACTATAATCTGCAATATTACAGCATGTACTGTTCCAATATCCCCGTGCATTCTGAAAGCATGGAACTATTACAACAACATGTGAGTTACACTGGTCAACTGAACCTAAAGTTGACTCTTAAGAAGAAAATATGCCAACAACTGAAGGCTGAGGCAGCTTTGCAATGTAAAACAGAACCCGAAACACTGCACTTGAATATTTATGACAAATTTAGAAAGTTATTTTATTTATGCCATATGTTTTTGAGGCTTTTTTCACTTCTATTATAAAAGAAAGAGAGCATTACCAACCCACCTCCCACCCAAAACACATTCCTGTGAAATTAAAAGACAAACCTGTGAAACGAATTCACACATGGGAAGAACACAAACCATAAACAAAAAGAAGGTTTTTGATTATGAGATCTTACCTCATCACAATCTCCTTCGACCATAGCATAAATAGCTTTCTTAACCAAGTTTGTACCTGAAACACAGATTTCAGGAAGTATTAATTAGAATGGAGGTGCAAGAGATGTCAGTTTGTATACAACTAACTTGTACTACCTACATGCCATGACATCAGGGGAAATTAGGGAGGAAAGAACGTAACAAGAAGTTGCAGTCAAGTTGCAGTCTCAAGTTTGAATATTGAAATCATCTCTAAAGTTATCCAGAGACTCAGCTTGAATGCAAAAGCCTTCTAACGCAAGGATATTAGAAACAGGCCTCTATGTTTAACATGGTGTTATATATAGCCTTCCAAGATGTGATTCATTCCCTTTTGCTGCATTTAAAGGCAAAATCTGCTGGCATGTACTTGAAGGGCATTCATCTTCCAAGGGAATTTCTTCTTACTAAAACAAATACTTCTACTAGCAACAGAACTTATGAAACCACTTTTCTTGCAGCTCACTCCCCATTTGGATTTGCCAGTAACTAATAATGTGGTCAAAGCCCACCCCTTCCCTTCAGTCAAGCATTAATTTAATTATTTATCATTATTTCTCATCTATTTCACAACAGTTCTACGAATGCGGTATCCCTACCTGTCTGTAGAATTGGGGTGAAATTGAAAGTTGATTTCAAAGTTATTACTGGAAAAAACTGCTGTTCAATGAAATTGCATAAATGTCACTTCCATAAGAAGGCTAAGGAAAAGGAAAAAGAACCCCAAGGAATCTAGAGATTGTTTTCAAGTATCCTCAGAACTTTAATCAATTAAGATTTTCACTGAACAAAACTGTACTGCATATAAAACAGCTTCAGATTAACAGCATGCTTTGAGCAACAGCAAGATGATAAATGCAGGATAGATGTTAGCATTTACATAATACTGAAGTAAGCAAAATGTTAAGTATAAATTTTATTTATATAAATCTAAAATAATGATCTGACTAAAGCAAAGGAAAAATCTTGTAGAGATCTTAAGAACAGCATTAGTTCTTATTTACTTATGAATCCAAGCACCTGCAACTAAAACACAGCAGGCTGCTTCATGACTCAGCTAAAAGGAAAGAAGAGAATGATTTCTCACTATCCTCTTCCTTCTGCTCTACTACTGACACCAATAAGAGCTTCTGAACTGCATCAAAATAATCACGTATGCCAAAACAGTCATGATAATTTTCAAGTTAAAGATGTTACAAAATGTAATTTCACAATAACAAACTCAAAAGAATTAAGGTCCCTAAGAGGAATCCTAACACCAGGTTTCCTAGTTGGCTTGATTAAAGGAGAAAAATCCCTTCCAACAGAGCAAAAAGTGATCAATGAAGGCAAGCTCCCTGCCAAGAGCTGTTTATTTCATCATACGACTTCCCATCAAAATAGCTCTCCATTTTGGTTGTTCAAGCAGGAATACACAACTATTTTTCAAGCATTAATACAGCAATGAGTTACAGATGTCCTCTCCAGTGGACAATATATAAGTAATTCATAGGGGAAAACCAGGGGACATATCCACTGGGAAAAAAAAAAATATATATATATATATATGTATATGTATACAGTAAACACAACAAAGACAAAGTTATGAAAGCACAAAAATGAAAAGCAATTCCTGCAGTTTTTATTTGATGGTGGTAATTTGCAGAGGTAAGTGGCTGCTGAATGCCTTTCGTTTTAGCTTCAAAAACCAGATGTAAAGCTTGTGTGGAATGGGCACTTTGGGTTATTTCAGCTGAATGGAAAAAGATACTGGGGAGTTTGTGTAGATGAGCAAGGCAAAGATGACAGCAAACCACCACATCTAGAAATGCAGCCCTGCTTCAATCTTTATGCACCTATGTTTACCCCAACAATGTAGGATATAAGTAAGAAATAACAACAAAAAAAGCTCTTCTTACCAATTCCTTTTCTTCTGTATTTGGAATCCACTGCTAACATGGCTATATAACCTCTGCGGAACATCTTTTTGTGCATATCCAGCTTGCAGACGATGGCACCTACACACTCTTCCCCTACCATGGCCTTAAAGACAAACATATAGGTATGTATTCTCAGTTTATGATCTGCAGTGCTACCAGAATTAGCAAACCAGTACATTTAAAATGAAACAGCTGCACAAAATTTGTGTACAACAACCAAGTCAGTTTTAAGAACGTTTCCAGAACTACAAACAAGAATAAAAGGTCTCTTATTTCTCTATCATATTAAAATAAAATTACAGTCCATCAACAGGCAATGAATTGTCCAGGAGAGAATTGCAGTATTACTCTATGAAGTCTACCAATATGAACGTCTGGGACAGAAAGGGGTAGAAAAGAGATAAAGACCAGGTTAAGACATAGATCCTTCCATTTGTGCTGCCACAAAGTAAAAAGCTCTTTATTGTGATCTGAATTTTCAAGTGCAATGGCTGGGGTGGGTAATATACTTAAGTTTTATCTGGTGTTTATGTTATGGTCATAACACATCAGAGAAAAATGTCTTTGCATTTAATCTTTAGAAACAGTCATTTTTCAGTCATGGGACATCCCAGCAACAAACAAACAAAAAAAGCATCCAGTTAATTTCACACATTTTCACTGTTCTGAGATTTTATTTACTAACAGCTACGCACTGACAGATCCAATGGTATCATCACAAAACGTGTGGTTAAGGAGACATTCTGAAAAAAAATACCCAAAGATTCCAACCCTTCCCCTTATCAGACCATTCACACAGCCTCTGTGCTCACACACACAAAAAAATCTACCATGAAATACATTAGAGACAGAATAACTAAGTCATATGTTAACTGAATGACTAGGCAGCATGAGAGACTAATGACATTAGAACCTACAGCAGTAAAGTGAATAATGCTACAGAGCAGGGCAGCATCCAAAAAAAGTATGAATTATTACTGTTTATTCAGAGAAAGATTGACAGATAAAAAAGAAGCTGAAAATTGCATGCATGGGTGTGTAAGTGGATCTTCAGAACTCTGAGACCTGTATCTGCAGGGAGAACCAGCCTTCCGCTCAAGCGTGCCTCCTAAACCAGGCCTACAGCACATGATTGGCACAAGCATGTGCTAGCACAACAGCTTCTGGATAATCCAAATTCACAGCACTAAGAGACATCAAACAAAAAAGACCTGCCTGAGCCAGTATTACCAGGCCTCCAGTGCTCGTCTCCCCAAAGTCTCTGGTAGGGACTCTGTAAACAGAACGTTTTACTGTGCAGCTTGTAGGATAAGAATCTATAGGCAGAAGGCTCTTAGATAGAGATCGTACCACAGGCATCAATCCACAGGTTTTCTGCCTGAAGTGTGATGTCTTCCAGCTCTCCATTTGGACAGTGGGTTATTAACCAAGCCAGCTGTCAGCCAAAAGCCCATTAGAAAGTGACAAGAAGTGGCCCAAAATGAATGAGCTGCAGTTCCATAACACTGTGATGCAGAGTGAGCTTAACAACAAATCTAATATGGTTTGAGCTCATCAGGCAAACATAATTATAAATAAAGCTAAGTTTTCATTTGGCAAAAATACATATTTTTCTAACAGCACCCAAGAACAACCCTGAACAATCTAAACCAGTAATTTTTAAAACAACCCTGAACAATCTAAACCTGTAATTTTTAAAACAAATGAAACATGATCTAAGTGGACTGAAATACACAGCCTCTAAGCAGTCTTTTGTTTGTTCTAAAACACACCTTCATTTCATAGAAAAGAAAAGCTGTACTTATACAAGAACTGCATGCAAAGTATCAGCTCAAGGCAAATCTTCTATCTCTGCTCAGACCTGAGAAAAGCAGGGAGTTAAAGAGTATCATCAGACACTGTTCATAACATTGCTATAATTATGCTGAGTACCTAGATGTAATCTTATACCTTGCTTTAAAAAGAAAAAAAAAAAAGAGACAGCATGAACTGGCACTTGATTCTTTTCCTCCTCACCATTCAGGAGTAGCACCATCTCAGACAACAGCAGATTTGCGTTCTTTCTTGTTAGAACTACTTTCCCAAAAACCTACTTTCATTAAACATGTACTCACATTAAACATTAAATGAACAGCAAATAATTTTGTTGCAGCAATCAAAGGAAATTCCCACTGATGTTGCCACAAAGTTGCATATAGTATCACTTCGTTACCACTTCCTAGAACACTTAAATCTGTCTTTCTGTCTTTGAGCAGGTGAGTCTGCCCCTTCACCTCTGACTGCTCCACTTCCATAGTGAGCACTGCAACCTGAGTTTTCCTGTTGCTTTTCTTCTTCTCTCCAAGCTTATCTAAAGCTGGAAACAAATCCAAAACGTGAAATTAAACTTGGTCATATTTTTTCTTTGGAAAACTTTTTGCTGTGTAAATACAGGGGAAAAGAAAAAAGAATGAGAGTTGGGGGAAGGAAGGAGAAAGAGTAGGAGTTCCTATGCAACATCATGTATGAGAAGACTATCATAGGACAAATATTCTTTTCAAGTATATGAGTATAATTCTAAACATACAGGTTTCCACAAACAGAATTCAGCCTAAGTTACCATTATATATCATCAGCCCCATGGAGTACTATAAGACTTACTTCACTCCTAAGTTCTCAGCAACATTAACACATGCATATTCAAATCTAATATTTGCATCAACTTTGTTCTTATTCATAAGTTCAAATCAAACTAGATTTTAAAGCCTTTGTGTTGCAACCACACATGACCAGAGTTAACACAGATGTTTATAAATCAGCAAGAACGTTGCCTCTCTTATAATTAAACAACTGGCATTAATTTCATTGGCAAAGGTGGCATTGCATCTGACAGCCACTGCCTCAGTGTGCCTTTTGGACACAGAGTTACCACTTTAATATGACTAAACCAACCAACTTGCCCCTAAAAGAGGAATAGTTCGTGATTCAAATGCAGTAGAACCTGCACTTCTGCAGGCTCCTTTTCCACACAGGCACTAAAATCCATCCCAGAGTATCACAGGAACAGCTCGGTACGAATCTTTAGCTTACATTTAACGATCATGTTACCAAATGCTATTAAGGAATACACTTAGGCTAATGGTTTTAACCTGGAGTCTGGCAGTTCAGTCACAGCTCTTTACAGTGCTGGGCAAATCACAAAGTCACTCTCCCTGCTTCCACTCTATGAAACTGGACACGAGTAATTCCTTCCTGTGCAATTCAGTGCCAAAAGAGCTCCACTAGCTGCTGTTAAATACACATACACTACAAAGTCTGAACCCTTTACAGAGCCTGTTGCAGGAAGAAGCAGCACAGCAAGCGTCTCAAACCGTGATCATTCCTCAAAGGAAACTGGAATACAGAGGAGTTGCAGCAGTTTGCAAATTGGGAGCAGATATGGATATGACAGAATGTCTTCCTAGGTCTGCCATGAGACTGGTGAGACTCCCCATGCAGTTCCCTAACTTTTCTGGTTCTTCTTTTATCCCCCCAAGCATTCTGTAACTGAAAAAACAGACATGATTTATTATAAGTGTTTAATTTGAACGCAAAGCATAGAATCTCATAAATGAAATCCAATAAGACAAAAAGTAAAGTATTAGTAGAAAAAAAAAAAAAGGATCTTAACCGTGGCCATTTAGGATTTACAGCCCATCTAAAACCACATATATGGAATTAATTGCTTATTTTAAAATTGCTGAAGTTTAAATTATAATCGCTGCTATAGCTACTGGCAAAGTTCAGAACCCAATAAAAGCATGTCTTTTCCAGATTTTTCTTAAAAGGTGGCTGAGCAGAGCAGTGATTCTGCAGTGATGAATAAAGGAGAGATTACAACACTCAGTCAGAACTCTGCTGTTACTATATCCTCTCTGACCCAAACTTTGGAACAGAGAAAGGTTTCTCAAGCTCACCTCTCCCACGCTACAGTATTTGGGAAACAATTTTTTTTTTCAATACTTAATTTATCAGTTCTAAATGGGAGGAGTTTGAACACTTTCTAGAATCTGCAAAAACATTTGCAAACATAGCTACAGCTTCAAAGATGCACTTACAATCAATACAGGGACAAAGCTGTGGCAATGCTTAAAGATGTAAAACAGAAAGATAGCCCTCTCCTCTCTCATGTTTGACAGCAATGGTTACTGCAGGTCATCTGAAGAGAAAATGGGCTGACAAAGCTCCTGGGAACAAATAAAACCCAAGCATTTGTAAGGGACTCACACCCAGCACACCCACACCTGCTCTTCCAAAGACAGGAGGAATCTAAGCTTAAGCATTCAGTCACAACTTATGGAGGAGAAGGCTATTATCTTGCTGCAGCTCAGTCAGATAACGCAGCAGTGTCCCATACCAGAGCTATTTATCAAGTATTCTCAATGTGTTAACTTAAAGGCCAGGAATATGGTTACACAGATTCATCTGATGTTAAATGATAGGTTTTGATGGTTTTCTACACCCTTTGAAAGTAGAATGTGAACTTGTTTTTGAGTGTATAGCTAGGAAATGGTTTGATACTGCAAAACCATGCTAGTGATTGGTGAGGGTTGGTCCAAGACCTTCCCTTTAGCTGTGTATTCTCACCTCTCTTCTTGCATCAACACCAGTGCTTGTGTCACGCTGCTATGAATATGTTTAGAGAGCTAAACCAGCTGAAACTTAACTCTATGACACTTATATCCCCTCAAACACACATACATGTATAAATGCATGGTAGGGCACTAGAGCTAGCTTAACTTCCCAAATCAGAGAAACTAAAAGTTTGCACAAGTGAGGACAAGATGCTTGAACCAAAAGCAGCAAGCAGCCCTATGATTGGCACTAGCTGTTAAGTCACATCACCTTGCAAAAGCCAAAGCTCAGCAAGCTTCAAACCCACGAGGTCATCAGCCTGAGGAATAATGTTATTAATTCCCCTGAAAAAGCTCTGCATTGTCAGGTAACTAAAATGCCACATAACAGAATTACAACATTTAAGATTGTTTACTGAATACATCAGCAAGGGAGAACTGCTGATCATTCAAGGAAGAGAGACATCCTGTCCATTTAAATAGAATTAGTTCTTTTCCCTCATGCTGTTGAGGAAGCGAGCCCATCACAGTGCAAGAAAGACCTCAGAGTATTACACTGGAGGACCTCAAGAAGAGTAGCAATGGTGAAATTCAGTAACTAAACTGATAGAAATAGTACAGTTCTTCCCCTCAAATAAAAGCAAGTTACAGTCTAAGCCCTGTAGCCAAGAAGAATCAAAGCCAAAGCAAAACCTGAAACCAGAAGGGTATGAGGCTGCGAGGCATTAAAGACAAATGATTCTGTGGGATCAGGCGCTATCCTTCCGAGCACCAACCTGACATTGTTCTTGCTAATTGGAATATGCAGTTCCTGCTGAAGATAAATATTTTAAAGAGTTATTAGATAGAAGTAGTTCAAAAATCCATTAACTGCAGGAACAAATTCAATTTTATAGAACAGAAAGTCTTCACGACAACCACTAAACAAGCCTTAAAAACACCAAAATCAGTCACAGAAATATAGCAAGTGACACAAGATACTGGAAGAGCTTCAAATTATCATGCATGTAGAACTATTTGCTAACAGCTTTAGATATCTTTTCTACCATTTTACAAACTTCCTATTGTTCCACCCTTCAAAAAAATGGCAAAACTGAGTAAAATTACAGAGTTCAAATAAAGTTCTGTTGATTGTTCAAGACTATTAAAAGAAGCTACAAAATAGACTTGGGATGACTTCCTTTCCTTGAGTAAAACCTTGCTCCTTGAATGCATTCAAAAATATATTAGAAATAATCTGTTTTAGTGCTATTGAACAGTTTGCCACTGCTCCTTGAGTGGCAAAGTAAAGAGATGCATGATGCTCTAATAGTATCCAACACCATGCTGGTATTACTGAGGGCACATCTGATGCTGCAAGTACAGACATTTGTAATTGAAAAGCATTTCTTTCCAGGATGAGGCAAACCAGTCACACACATAAGCTAGGTGCAGGCACTATATTTGAAAAATGACCACTCTACTCTGATCAGCATGACTACATATTGAAGAATATTTTCAAATATTTTTTTTATTTTTATGTTGTTCCAGATGGTAACACTGGTCAACCTCCTGTAATCGATAGTACTGTATTCCCTCTTCAGGACTGTAAGAGGCACATTTCTGAAAACCCTCCTATAAATCATATAAATCCCACTATAAATTACACCACATCCTAAACTAAGAACATTTAGTAAGTTTAAGGCCAGATGGATTCCATTAGCTTCACCTTCTGTACTCATATCCAATTAAAATCTTACAGAGGTACCATTGAATAAAAGGGTATCTTGGCTCTGGCTAAATCATATCTGTCAGAGTGGTGCCCTGCCTTAATTGAAGTATCAAGAGAAAAGAATTCATCATTTACTTGAGTGAGGAAGCACCATATGCTCCCCAAAACATTCTGTTTGACAGAGAAATTTTCCAATGAGTAAATCAAACACAGCTAAGCCCCCTCTTGTGCATACATACCCCTCAGGCCAATTCATGCACAGTCTCATATACCTGTGCATGGATTGCTATCCTGACAGCATGCTTGTCAGCTGAGACACACGTTCCAAAATTGTCTGGCTGTTCTTTCCACAAGAAGTGTTAAATATTTAGAAAGTCTGGGTAACAACTAAAACAATCTTTTTGATAGTGCAGGAGAAAGAATACAGCAGTAAGGGTAGCATTAGTACTGCAAGACAGCCTGAACAAAATGAGAATTTCTGTACAGTGCATATACTACTACACCTGAAAAGTGATATAGTTGTACTTGAAATTCTCAAGGTAAGCAAGCAGATCAAGAAGTCTACAAAACCTTCAACAGTGCCTCTACACACGTCGACATTCATATGCCAGTCATGCTGAAGTCAGTTTGAGAACCATTGTGCAAGAATTACTAAGCACTCACAAGATACCCGTAGACTAAGTACTTTCTTTTTTAAATACAAACCTAGGGAACTGAGGCAGAATAACAAAATGAGCTACCAAAGGTCGCAGAAGTCAATGTCAACACCAAGATTAGAAGCCTTGAATTCCTGGATCCTAGCCCTGTGTTCAAACCCTTTCCCCACCACTGAAAAAGGTGTGCTAACAAATGTAAGAACTTCAGACATAAGCTTTGCTTATACAGGCTCAGGTGAGAAGGAGAATTCATTAGTGTTACATACTTTCCAAAAAGCTTGGCCTTTCCTCTTAGCCATAAAAAGAATTTTAGAAGCGTTTCCACATGTCAGCCCTTTAATCATGCCTCCACCCCAGCCTTAAACCACTCCCAATTCTTGCCCTCTCCCCCTCAGCACTTACCAAAAAGCAAAGTTGTGGCCAGTTGTGGATAAAATACCTATACGTGTAAATGGAGTAGGGTTCAGACAGATCTTTGGTGATCAGTCTCATGATATCGGGCATCTGCAGCTCTGATTCGTATCGGACGTATCGTATCGTTAGGTCCTCCTCGGGCTGAGAGTCCGTTCCCGAGCCTTTCAAACTGCAGCCTGCTGCTAAGGACCTAGAGAGCAGCAGCAAGGACTCCTCCTCCCCACCTTCATCCCCCTCCTCCTGCTCTTCCTCCTCCAAGCCAGTCCCTCCTGCCAGCCCATTGCGGGCTGCAGTCTTAGCAGCAGTCGTAGTTGTGGCAGCAGGCTGGCTCCTGTCCCCTGTTGCTGCTGCTGCTGCTGCGGGAGAAGGAGGAGGAGAGGGTGCAGTCCTTCCCTGGGGAGGGAGGTGGTTAGGAAGGGGGGACGAGCACGGTGCTGCGGCCGGGGGCGACGGCTGCTGCTGCTGCTGTCCGGAGCCCATTGTTTTGCTGGCTCGCTTGTTCTCCAACCCCTCGGGGGCTGCCCCTGCCTCAGAGCCCAGGATCTTGCTCTTGAGGGAGGCCCGCAGGTGCCGCAGCTCGGGGCTGATGAGGCCGTTGAGCTGGTGGTTGTGGTGCGGGGGGTGATGGTGGTGGTGGTGGAGGCGGTGCTGCTGCTGCTGCGGCCCCCCCTTGCCGCCGTCGCTGCTTCCTCCTCCTCCTCCTCCTCGCTGCTGCTCCCGTCCGCCCGCGGGTCCCTCCTCTTCCTCCTCCTCCTCCTCTTCGGCCTCCTCGTCCTGGGCCCCGGTGCAGGCGGCGGCGGCGGCGGCGGAGGTGGAACAGGAGGAGGAGGAGGAAGCAGGCCCCCCCCCTCCTCCTCCGGGGAAGGGGGAGAGCGTGTCCCCCTGCGGGGAGAGGACGCTGCTAGGCCCCGGCGGTACCTCGGCCATATCCTACGGGAGAGACCGACACAAACCCACCGAGGAAGAGGGCGTCAGACCGGACGGGGGAAAAAGGCCGAGGCAGCGGCCTCACGGGCCGCGGCCGAGGGGGGGTGGGGGGGCCACGAACAAAGGCACAGACGGTGCCCGGGCCCCGCCTCGCCGCCCCGCCGCCGCCTCTTCCTGCCGTCCCGCTCCCCCCGCCACCGCCGTCGCCGCCGCCGGGGCCCTTCCCCTGTACCTCGCGGGCCCCGGGCGGCCGCCGCGGCCCCCCCGCCCGCCAACGCCGCCGCCGCTCACCCCGCGTCTCCTCAGCGCCGCGGCTCCCACTCCCCGCTCATCCAGCGGCCGCCAAGCGCGGCCGCCGCTGTCGTAACGCGCGGCCAAGTTTCCTGTCAGCTTTTGCGACGTTTGCCTCCCTTGGCGGCGGAGCTTAGCGACGGCGGGGTGGGCTTCACTACGGGCCTGGGCGGAGCCTCACAGACCGAGCCCGCCGCTCAGTACTGGGGGAGGTCAGCCCTGACGCGGGCGCGTGTGGCTGCTCCTCAGGGCGCTCCTTTTGCCACCCGTTGCCTTGTCTCCCATTCCAGCACTTTACTCTTCGCTTTTTGATCAGCCCTGCCGGATGTCAGCGCAACACAAAAGCCCTTTAAATGGGAAAGTTTTGTTTAAAACGCGCACGCAGCCCTCGAAATGCAGAGGAAGGCTGGATTCTGCCTTTTCGCACCAGGAAGCCTTGCGGGGCTGCTCGTTCTCCTTTGCTGCAGTTATTTTTCAAGGAAGTGACAGGCCTGGGCTTAAAAGGGAAATCCAGCCTTTTCTCTGCGTGCCCTAACAGGGTTCTGTAATTAGGAAGGAAACAGGCTGCGGAGTTTCAGTCTGAAACTTCACAGAGTCCTGAAGTAAAGAAGGAAAAAACAAAACAAAACAAAAAAACCAACAACCACTCACCTGATGGAAAGAGAATGAGTTACAAAAATTTGATCCGAAGCAACTGATGATGGAAATACTTGAGGTTGAAATTGGTCTAATCTCTATTCACGTTGCTTTTATGTGTTCTGCAGTTGCTCTGCAGATGGATTTTTAGACATGAAGGTGTTGGTACACGTAGTTTCATTTAAGGATTCAGTGTTTTCTTTTTTTGTGTGTGTGTTTTCAGGCATCAAAGCATCCCTGTGGACCTGATCTGAACTGCTCTGGCACACTGACGTTGCAGTGAGGTTCACTGTCCTCGAGTATTTTAAACAGAAAAAGCAAACAAATGTCAGCGTAGTAATTGGCCTAAAATTCAATTCTCCTTTGTCATGTTACAGCGGTGAAAACATCTGAGCCACGTGTTATGGTGGTAGTCTCGTTAGGAAGATGATCCAGGAAAAGCTGTGGGATGGGGTGATGTTATGAAAACATACTGCGTTGAGGTTACAGTACAATAGAAAAAAAACCTCTCCTGTGTGCTCTGTTTGTCACACTTCCAGACTTGGAAGGTTCCTTGTTCAGATGTTGATGTTAACAGTTCATTGTCCACAGACAGGATCTATCTGATGTTGATCTTAACAGTTCATTGTCCACAGCTAGGATCCATCTGACCAAAGGTAGACATGGATAGGGCAGCTGAGCTGAGCTCCTCTGAGCTGGTGTCTTTGATTTCCCTTAAAGCTAATTGAGAGGAAAAAGTGGTAGAATTCAGCTCGTCCTAAATCCTTTGGATTTCTAAAACAGGACAGGTAAATCTTGCTTTGGTAGTGATGTCACCCCATTAAATAACTGGTTCATCTCAGATACGCCTGCTATCACTGTCTGAAGTTAGATGAAAGGTGTCCTAAAACTACTGTTGATATGTTCTTGGTCTGAGTGCTTACTTGGCCTTTAAATTCGTCTCATTTCTTGTAAGTATTATGATGACAATTGCTTTTAAAGTGAACTGTCTGAACCAAAATTGTGTATTTTATTCCTCAGATTTCCCCCTCACTGCTTTTTGAATCTCCAGCAACCCTGAGCAGCCTCACGTCATTGCAAACCACACCTTTTTCTGAAGGAGGGATGGAGGTTGAACACAAGTCTCACTGTTTCCAGTTCATTGTTCAATAATTCTGTTACCTGTTTCTGTGGCTGATTTATTTGTTAACAAGAGAGCACTCAGGAAACTACTGTAACGTTTTCTTACTTATGTCGATGCCCTTCTACTTTTTCTTTGAAGTATTTAGGGGAATCTATGCACAGATTACACTAGATATCAAGGAAACCATGGTGGAAAATTGAAATCTAAACATACTCTGTTTCTTGTCAAAGTAAAGATGTCATCCCAGATGCACCACAATGTTGCAGACAGAATGTTGAGTTGCACTTAATTTGGGCAACAAACAGGAAGAGCAGCCAATGCTTAATGAAGACAAATTGTTCTTCCATTACTAGCAGTGATTCTTTAAAACAGTTACCCTGCATGTTACAGTGATCATGTTACTCAAACACCTGAGTGTTTGCTGATGAACAAAACAATAATAAAACAATGTCTCTCTTTCTTTTCCACTTGTCAAAGTCCATTATAGATGAGAGATTTTGCAGACTGATTTTTCAGGAAGGCACATGCAGTTTTCTGTGAGCCGTGTTAGTGCTGTGGCCCTGAGCACATCTCCCTTCTTAGGGGTCCAGCTGTTTGGGCTTAGGGACTGATCTGAGACAGTGCAGCACAACCATGCCTGCCTGCCCTTGTTTTTGCCCCAGCACAGTGGGTGCTTCACTCATACAGCTGTACTGGGGCAAGAGGTGGATCAGCATCTCTGCAGCACTGCGTCAGATGCTCCAGCTGAACCATGAACTGCATGGGCAAAGATGCTGTCATTCAATTAAAAAATCCTGGCCTTGATCATCTGCACCTCCAATAAATACAAGATGACAGCAAACATACACAAGCAGTTCTGGAATTTCTGCACTGTACTCTGCATTCAGGAGGGAGGTGCAACAAATGCAGAGGTGGGACTACCAGGTCTGTCCGAGTTCCTGAAGCAGCAAGTACAGAATCATAAACAGGAAAAGAGGAACTCACTGAAAACAAAATGTATGTGTACATATCAAATAGTGTCGTTCGGTTCCCACTGAGGACACCGGCTGTGTAGTGATAGGATTCGTGCTGCTCAGAAAGGGAATGTTTCGTGCCAAATGATCACTCTGGAAAGAACTGCACTTTAGCGTGTTGTTAGCAAGAGAAATCACAAGGGGGTAGTGTTGTACAGCACAGCGGTGACCCTGTGCAGCAAACCAAGTGCATTGTGCTGAAAGATTCAAGAGTCACTGCCTGCATCTCTTCTGGCAGCAGTCCTGGGAGGATGACTTCTGTCTCTGTGTAAGGCTGGGTTTTGTGGGGTCAAGATGAGCGCAGCAGTGAAATTGCCGTCTCCACCTCTGCACCTACTTTGAAACCAAGTGTGATATGATAGTGAGAGACATTTGACAGGGATGGAGATAATAAAATAAGACAGGGGCTTGTGCAGGATGATACAACCATGAGGATATTTACTCAATTTCTTAGTCTTACTTTTTTTTTTTCTTTCTTACTACAGGTGAAATCACATGAGTCCCTGATAATGAACTGCAGCCAGCTTCTCTTTCTAATGCCTGGTCTCTTTGAGAGGAAAAAGTCATGGCTCAGCAGGAGTAAAAAGTGTGTCAGTAGCCTCATTCAAGAGCACTCCTTCTAGTAGGGAGCTCTGGAGCCTTTCAGGAAGAGTTTCTGCCTTTGCTACCCTGCTGTGATTCTGCTCACGTCTCCCAGTTTCATTGGGACACTGCAGTGGGAGAAATGGTAGAGAGAGCAAAGGGAATCTCCTTGCCTTTCTTTTATAGGGCTTGATTAGAGCTTAGGAATCAAACGAAAATGTATATAAGAGCATTGCTACTTATTTAGAGATGATTTCGTGGAAGAGGGTTGATTCCACAGTGTCTGGCAGCTGGCCAGTGGAGCCGATGTAAAATGATGTGCTTCACTGTGAACAGCCAGACACAGCTCTTCTCTTCCACACTCCTTATGAAAAAAGGCACAGAGAAGGAAGAGTTCGGGAGAAGGTGCAGATGTGAGGTATGAGAAAACCAAATAGATTATTGCAGATCTAAAGCTGGTAGCTGAGATCTCATAGGCCAAGGTCTGCTGAGAGCAGCTGCTGGCACAAGGGAAAAAGTGCTTGAGAATTACACACCTTTCGTTTTCTCATCCAGCTGGTTGCTTGTTCCATCATCATTTGGAGCTCTCAGTATTGCACAAGGAGATATTTTAACTTGAGCAAGTCAATATGTTGATCTTCTTGCATGAACTGCTCACCCACATTCTCTGCCCCATCCCACATTACGATGCAAAAGGAAATTCAGGCACACTTCCTTGCAATAAGTTTATCCCACAGTTTCAGGGTCACTTTGACCACTTCAGCTGGGTTTGTTTTACATCTGTCAAGCAAAAAGAAAATGCAGTTATTGTATATTCGAAAATCACGTGGCTCTGTAACATTTCAAGTTTGCTGACAGCTATACAATAGGCACCACATTCACCATTTACCATTTCAATGTAATCTTAACATCTCTAGAGTAAGGGAAATACGTTTTCAAAATCTTCAAGCTTCCACTGGAGCCAACACAAAATCTGTTATTTATTTCAGCAAGAACAGAGTTAGACCAATGCTACAGACCTTTGAAAAACCCAGTAATAATCTACCTAAAACTGCTTAAAATATGACTTAGCATATTTGGTCATCAAAGTATGGTTGTCTTTTTAGAAGGCCCTCTGCCAACTGCAATTCTTTGCTGATGAGCTCCCTGTGGTAGGAAATATTTAGAGGAGTAACAACCTCCAAAACTGTAGAAAAGGAAGAAGGTGGGAATGGAAATCTATTAAAAGAGGGAAGGCTTGGAAGGAGGAGTTAGGGAATTATAGACACAACAGCTTCCTTTCAGTTTCCCGAAACATCCTAGAACAAATAATCACATAATTTGTAAGCATTTAAGGGAAAACAAAGAGATTAGGGACAGTCAATGTGGATTTGTCAAGAATAAATCAAGTTAAACCAATCTCATTTCCTTACGTGATAATGCAACAGACTTTGAGACAAAGGACAAACAGTTCAAGTCACAAGTCCTGACATTAGTTAGACTTTTGTCAGGACAATCTCATAGGCAAGCCAAGGAAACACAGGACATATGAAATTATAAAGGGCTGCAGGCAAGGCGTTTCAGAGAATATTTCTCAGTATCTCACCAGTAAAGGGCAGAGGGCTCGAAAACAGCAGCTGTGATGGGAAGGTGAGCACACCGGGGTTCTTACAAAAGGGTTCATTTACATGGGCCACAATCATGTTTTTGTTCATGTTCATGATGGGCTGGACAAGAACTCTGATTAACAATTCTGATTAAGCTGCTGAGAATTATGTGAACTGTGAAGATAGTGAGATCTTGCAACAAGCTCCTGGAGAAGCTTATGCAAA